CTGGGTCAGATCCCACTAAGATCCCACTACCCTGGATTATTCATTTTTTACCCTCGATTACGAAGATCAACGGTCAGAAATGAACAATTGGGGCTCGTGGAATCTGGCCCTAAGCCACAAGTACTTGCTAGAGTCGTGCCCGTTAACGCGCCACGATTTTAGGACACGTACGGGCTACTACAGGAGCGCCCAAATTCAATTCCGCAGCCGATAGCTGGGCCAAGTACTGGTGGTGATCAGAACAGATACCACACTTGATCTTAGCCAAAGGACCCAACCTGCCTATCTCTCTCTTCTCTCTCCCTATCTCTAGGGTGGCAGGCTGGCTTCCCCGAAAACAAGGAAGAAGTGTGGCAAAAATTGTGGAAGGACGATTGCGACGAAGGTAAGGGCCTCGTTCGATCGCGATCGGGACTCAGCTTACGTCAGCAGTAAGGGCATACTCACACGCGGACTTTCCTGAGTGTATGGCGTTGGCGGATATGGGTGTAGGGGTGGAAGATGATGACGTCAACGCAAAAGAGCTTCGTCTGCCTGGCGCCGTAATGCGTGCTATTGCCCTCTATGTGGGGCGCTGGTGATCGTGTGATCAGACGGCGATTCTTCTCTCTCTCTCTCTCTCTCTCTCTCTCTCTCTCTCTCTCTCTCTCTCTCTCTCTCTCTATCACTGTGGAGTCAGACCGAGGAACACACACACGCACACACACGCACACACACGCACAGAGAGAGAGAGAGAGAGAGAGAGAGAGGAATCGCCGTCGCAGTCGAAGAGAATTACTGAAGGCAAAAAAAAAAAAAAAAAAAAAAAAAAAAAAAAAAAAAAAAAAAAAAAAAAAAAAACGAAAAAAAAACAAAAACAGAAAAAACTGAAGGCAATGGAAAGAATGACTAAGAAAGAGTTTTCAAAGAAAAGAAAAAAAAACAACGGGCCTAGCTCAGTTGGTACACCCGCGAACTACTGTTGAAATAGACAAGTTCGATCAGATGACCACAACAGTAATTCAGAATTACCTGGGGCAGGTCAGTTCAATGGTGATACCTTAAGGCCGTCGCCCTTCTTCGTCCCAAAAAAAAGAAAAAGAAAAAGAAAATGGAAAAAAAGGAATGCAGTCGTTATAAGTCTGGCTGGGATCAACACATTTTGATGCGCAAAAGCTCTGTTTATCGTCTTCTTCCTCCTCCATTCGTCTTCGTCTTCTTCTTCTTCTTCTTCTTCCTTTTTTTCATAACTTCTTTTTCTTTTCTGCTTGCGCGAAACTCCTTCACCCCTTCACCCCTTCACCCGAAGGCACTTCCCGCGCCAAATACACTGCGTACATCTGGACGCCATCTGGACCAGGTGCATTCGAAGGAGTCCAAGGTTTCCAACCCCACCCAATCGCTTTAACCCGCGCAACCTCCTCTTCAAGTGGAGGCCACCTCCTCCCCCCTCAGTCCGCTTTCCACTGATCGAAAAGGACGAGTCCGCCACATACATTACATGCATCTGGACGCTATCTGGACCAGGTGCATTCGGGGAAGAGATGGTTCAGGGGCCACAGGGGGTGGGAGGGTGGTGGTGATGATGTGCTAATCCTTTCCGATCTGGAGATATTTATCCTAACTAATCCTTTCCTATCTAGGGGTACTTATCCTAATTAGGATATTTATCCTAACCAATGCTTTCCAATTTGGGGAGATACTTATCCTAACTAATCCTTTCCAAACTGGGGATACTTCCCAACAAATCTTTTCCATCTTAGGAATACTTAGGGCCTCGCTCCACTACACAACACTCTACATGCTTTTGGACGCCTTCTAGACCGTGTGCATTTAAAGCGTGCACCTCGTCCGAATGCCCCTGGTCCAGATAGCGTCCAGATGCATGTGCAGTGTTGTGTAGTAGAGCGAGGCCCTTATCCTATCTACATGCATTTGGACGCCTTTTAGACCGTATGCATTCAAAGTGTTCACCTCGTCCGAATGCACCTGGTCCAGATAGCGTCCAGATGCATATACAGTGGTGTAGTAGAGCGAGGCCCTTATCCTAACTAATCCTTTCCAATCTGTTCTTATGTCTGCGATCGCGCAATACTTGTCCTAACTAATCCTTTTTTTTTTTTTGCTCTGTTTTTTCCTTTTTTTGAAATGGCGACGACCGTTCTTGAGATATCATCATCGAACTGACCAGCCCTAGGTAATTCAGAATTCTAGTATTTTAGTCATCTGCTAATTCAGAATTCTAGTATTTTACTCATCTGCTTCTAGTGGAGTTCGGACTCAGGTCTGTATATCAACAGTCTAGGGGTATCCTTTCCAAACCAGCCCTTGACCTTAATGAGATCTTTTAAGGAGCCGTTTAAGGAGCCGCAGCACTTAATGAGATCTCTTAATTACCGTCCGATTAGTTACTGTGATTTGATGATCAACACCCCTACTCGGTCTCTCAATACCTCCCTAACGAGGTTTTGTCAACCTTTACATAATCACCACCCACCCAATGAGGGGTTTAAAAAGGAGCAGCACCATTTAATGATCCCCAAATGAGCGGCCGCCGATGGGCTCCTCGACCAGTATACCCCTAATAGGTCTCTTAACACCCCTAACAAGCCTCTTGATTGCTTTCTAATCACCACCCACCGGATGATTGATGAGGGGTTTAAGGAACTCCAGCATTTAATTATCCCCTTGAGGAGCTCGATACCCCCTAGCGAACTTCTTGATTGCTTTCCAATCACCACCCACCTGAGGATGAGGGGTTTAAGGAACAGCAGCATTTAACGAAGCCCTTAAGGAGCGTCCGATGAGCGGTTTGATCAAGGCCAACGCCTCCTGATTAGTCTCTGAAGACCTCTTCACGAGCCTCGTTATAACTGCTTGATTGCTTTCCAATCACCACCCACCTGATGATGAGGGTTTTTAAAGGAACAGCATCACTCAATGATGAGCCCTTAAGGAGCGTCCGATGATGAGCGGTTTGATCAACACGACTAATTAGTATCTGACGACCCCTCTTGACAAGCCTCGTAATAACCGTTCCGATTGGTCTCCAAATCTGCATCTGATTGGAAGCTAATCATCATGCCCTTGTGATGATGATCCGGCAAGTGGACTTAACCTGTCACAGTGACGAGTGGTGTTTCGTCATCATCACTATGGGCCTCGCTCCACTACTCTATAGACTCTCGAAAAATTCCAGAGTAGCGCCTCGCGACATTTACTACAGTAATAGATTTGTACATAACCAAAACAAGGCAGCGCGAAAGAGGCTGCCGAGCGGAGAAAGGGATTTGAACGCTACCTTAGGGCATCGCCACACCACTCTCGAAATGTAGAAAAATGAGAATGAACTTCCCTCTAGAACATGACCAGATGCACCCGCCGCAGTTTTTGTCTTTTTCACATTTCGAGAGTGGTGCGGCGACACCCTTAGCGCTTGGCAAGGCTCCTCCGAGAGCTGTCAGAAAGCACTCTCGAAGGACGCACTCGATCTCCATGAGTCTAGAGTTCACAGCCTGCAACGCGATGGTTTCTAGCATGATCCCTCCTACCCCCGCTGAGCCTCCAACGCGATGGTTTTCTAGCGTGATCCCTCCTACCCCCGCTGAGGTCTCGTGTTTTCACAAGTGCGCCTCCATTCCCTGCCGTCAGAACACGCAGGCGCTGTCTCGTAGTGCTCTTGAAGCGCTCACGAAAACCTATTAGGGGTGGTGATCAAACAGCGAATCGGCCGCGCTCTCTCTCTCTCTCTCTCTCTCTCTCTCTCTCTCTCTCTCTCTCTCGCTCGCTCGCTCGCTCCTGGCCGTGAGTGACTCACTGTCTCGTAGTGCTCTTGAAGCGCTCTCGAAAGCCTAGGGTTAGTGATCAAACAGCGTATCGGGCGCTCTCTCTCTCTCTCTCTCTCTCCCTCCCTCTCTGTCTGTCTGTCTGTCTSTCTGTCTGTCTGTCTGTCTCTCTCTCTCTCTCCCCCCTGGCCGTGAGTGGCGCTGTCTCGTAGTGCTCTTGAAGCGCTCTCGAAAACCTAGGGGTAGTGATCCAACAGCGTATCGGACGCTCTCTCTCTCTCTCTCCCTCTCTGTCTGTCTGTCTGTCTGTCTGTCTGTCTGTCTGTCGGTCTGTCTGTCTCTCTCTCTCTCTCCCCCCTGCCCGTGAGTGGCGCTGTCTCGTAGTGCTCTTGAAGCGCTTACGAAAACCTATTACGGGTAGTGATCAAACAGCGCATCGGCCGCTCTCTCTCTCCCTCCCTCCCTCTCTCTCTCTCTCACCTGGCCTTGAGTGCTTCTGGAGTTCGTGAGTCTAGAGTAAGTGCGGGGAGGCCTATTTTTTCGAGAAGTTTAGACGTCTGACAGCTCTATAGTGGAGCGAGGCCCTATATCATCCTCCTCTTCTCGCTCCTCTTCCTCCTCCCTCCTCCTCCTCCTCCTCCTCCTCCTTCCTGTTCGTCGTCATTTTGCAACGTTGTAAATCGCGTTCGGACAAATGGAGCTGAGTTGTACGTACTGTGGAAGTGACAGATGTTCTCCTCCTCCTCCTCCTCCTCCTCCGTGCAAAAGTTTACTACGAAGATGATCGTCGTCATATCGTGTCTTGAGTGTTCAGAATACTGATGATGGCGATGGATGATTGGCGCGGATGGTGAGGATGCTGGCGTCTTCACCCGAATAGAACGTACGGTCATTGTCGCTGTACCTAGACTGAAAGTTGCACCAAATGCAACTGTAATGACGGTACGTTCTAGTCGGGGGAAGAGGGGTGGTTGTATGCTAACGAGGACGAGAGGGATGATGATTCATCCATGACGATTCCGTTTTACCTGCTCACATTTTCTTGCAATGAAAGCGACCAGAGTTTTAACGATCAGCCAGCCGATCCACGGATCAATCTATTGATCAATCTGCCTTCCCTCGCTGATCAAGAAGGGGATTCGCACGAGCGGTTCATTTTGTGAACTGCTGGAATTGCGGGGACACGTTGGAAGAAGGGGACTTCATAATGATTGTTGCTCCGCTTTCAGGCTCGTCAGTTTAATGGTCATTGATACATTGGTCGATCCATTGAGTGATTGGCTGTGCGCATGTGTGCATGTGTGTGCCTGCGTGTGAGAGTGTTTGTGCATGCATATGTATGCGTGTGTGTTTGTGTATGTCCTGTCTCTTATACACATCTAGATGTGTATAAGAGACAGGAGAGAGAGAGAGAGAGAGAGATCACCGTGAGATGTTGACGTACGAGGACGTCCCTCGCCTATTGTCGACGGATCAACGACGGGGCACGAATGTCACGAAGAGAGAAAGAGAGAGAGAGAGAGAGAGAGAGAGAGAGAGAGAGAGAGAGAGAGAGAGAGAGAGAGAGAGAGAGAGAGGCGANGGAGCTATTTCCTTCCCGGGGGTGCGCACAGCAGTGCAC